CTTTGCTTGGGTAAAAGCCTCCAGACGTATTCCATGAACCGGATCCTCAATAATCAGACATCCTATGTCAAACCACCTGCAAAGACATGCAAGTTACTGTACTGCTGAGCAGCGCCGAGTATTACCCAACTGAAGAACAGCACGTTAAAAGCTGAATTCTGACTCGCTCATTTTACAAAACTTCGGTAGGAACTCCACACAAATATAGATACATGCAATAATGAGTTTCATCAACATGTTCTGATACTTTGTCAACTAACGTACAAGAATATTGTAACATACATGTAATTTATTTAAAATACATGAAACTTGCAGATCACAAGGAAACAAAGGAAGCTGGTGGGGATGCGTACAGATAAATTCTTTCAGACATTTATTACGCTGCAGTTTTCATGCAATCTTCGTAAGAGTATGTATTTCTTGTTAAGATAACTTCTAACTATCAAAAAACCCTATTTTTCATTCATGTTTTATATTCAGAAGACATTATTGGTATGCCTAACCTTATAACAATCATTTAAATGGTCTATTTAGAGAAACAGTTCTGCATCTTTCAGAAAAAGATATTCCAGTAAACTACTGAAACAGTATCTGAAATGTTTCCCTGCCTAGCTTGCCAAAACTTCAAATCATTTCTCCCTAATAACAAACACTGACTTGATCCAAACAAAATCAAGGCTAATGCATCGTCATTAACTCATTTTATTCAATTCCCACAACAGAGTGTTACAGGTAAGTCACCACAGGAGTATTTTCTCCAGGGAAAGCACAGGCGCAAACGCAAGGCCAGGAATCATTATATAAGATTTAGAAAGGAAAATATTATCACAGTTGTTATTCTATACATATTATATATGTGTGTACACATAAATGGTATTTTATTCTTTAAACTGCGGGAAGCTGGATGCTGCTATGATGAAAAGAAGAAGGAAGACTCCAGCTTTAATAAACAATTGGCTGGGTCACCTTAGTTTCACATCAGAGTAAGTGCTCAGCAGAGTCAGAGAGGAAGAAGTATTTACTTGCATCTTTGTAGGGAACAGAGCACTGCAGTGCTCTATGATAGACTACTCTCGCATGCAACTAAAAAACTGCTGAGAAAGTGTCATGGTTAAGGATAACTTGCTCTGAATTAATAAAGCAATTTGAGTCTAAAAGGAAACATACACATAAAAGACTTTTCAACCTTCTCTGCAAATAGTATGTGGAGTATGAAATTGGAAGGGGAAGTAATGTCCTTCAGATAGCTGAGGCATAACTGAAAAATTTGGCCACGAGCAGTGACTGATGGGTTAAGCGTTAGGCAATTGACCTCTTAGGACTGGTGGGTGGTTACCTGGAAACTCCTTTTTCCATTAGAAGTCTGTAAGTACAGTCAAGCATATCAGTAACACACACATTGGATGCCTCATGTTAAAACTATGATAGCCCAATACCCGTTTCAGAACCACTATTAATTACTCGCTAGCACCATGACCTATCATTTCACTGCAGAAGTAAAGAGTCAGAAATACTTTACGTGTTTTTCATAACACCATGCAAAAAAAAAAAATCTTTCAGTCCCTGCTGTTGTATAAAAATTAAAGCATGCATTAAGTTATTCTTTGTTTCTATTGTAATTAGTATCAAAGTTAAGGATATTTTGGGGTCTGAAACATGTGGAGAGAAGAACTAGCACTCCTTCCAATAAGACTGAAGTCCTGGGTCTGCTCCTCCATTTTGAATACTTTAGACAACATTTTCAGATTTAGGATCAAGTAAATTCAAAGGAGGAGAACAGTAACTATTTTGAAACACAGATCTTGTCATAGTTACTCCTTTGTGGAGATATGACAAAACACCTAAATCAGACTGGAACATGGAAATGAACACTAAACAGAAAAGTTAAAACACTTCCTAATTCCGTTTACTTTAGGAAAATCCATCATCCATCTTCCACTGAGGATACTAAATGGACTTTTAAAAATTGAGCAAAAGCAGAGCAAACGTCAAAAAAGCCAGCAAAAATGCAAAGATTAAAAACGTTACTTAATAATATTATTTTGGTCTTTTAAAGAAATAGCATTAAGAAAAACATAACATTGTCCTTAAAGCTTGGAAATTGATTAAAAAAATTAAAGAACTACCTGTCAAAAAACACATTAAGAAATCAAGTTATATCATGCTATTTGAAAAAAAAAAATTATGTCTGTGCAAGAAAAATGAAAAAAAAGTACATACTTGGTGAAAGGCAAATAGATCATACATTATCTGAGAAAATCATATTACTACAAATGCCAGAACATCTCTCAACATACTTTGTGACCTGAACACAATTTGAGAGAGTAAAAAGTGCATTTCTAGCCAACTTCCAATTTTCACAAGTTCTTACTTTTATCAGTTCAGTACAACTTCATCACGTTTTCAGATTGTGCATCTTGATAAACCTGTTAAACTGTCAAGACTCTCTGGACAGAGAGCTGAACACCACCACCAAAATCAAGTCTGCCAAAGCAATACTGCAAACAGACTGCTTCTTTCATTTCTTCTGCCCGAAGTGATACTACTAACACCTCTTTACAGGCCCTTGAGCCAATAATCCTTCTCCTTCCCTCCTAGGAAAATATTTAAGGTTCTCACTTGTCTGGAAGCAATTCCTCAATGAAGCTTTCTACGGATACTGCAGGCTGTTTTTCATGTATTACTCCTGTTCGACGCAAGCTGTCTATCCTTTCTTGGGCTCCCTAAATGATAAAATAAGCTGTTAGACAACATTCTCTTTGAAATCCAGCCTAGCACAATACTTACAGAAGAATAAACAGAACTCTAGAAGAATGTATTTTTCAAGTTAAGTAGAACATATATATTAGAGATTTGTAAAAAATGACTCTTATTTTGAAGTAAAATAAAGTATGAAAACCCAGCTCATTCTGGAATTCCCAACACTAAAAAAACTATGATAAAAACCAATTAAATATTTCTAGCATGTTATTTTTTCCATGAAAGAGACAGACTAGTATGCAAAGAATTCCCAATCTGTAACTGTACCAAGTTTCACTATCAGTTAAAGTGTCCGGATATATTGCTGTTACTCACATAGACATTCTTACAGTTTCAGATTTGGCTGTTTTCAACCCTTTACAATGCAACGGCTTTGGATGAACTTTGCAACACCAGAGGACAGAATCTCTTTGTCCCTCCAAGTAAAGCTTTACGAATAATTCACCCCAAACCTGTTATCATCTGAAGTTATAATAGCAATACTACTACCACACTGAAGTGGTCAAACTGGTAAGAAACGCATATATTATTTCCTTTTCCCAATATAAAATTGTATCAGCTAATACATTACCATAAGGATAGGTTTAACTCTATGAACACTGCCCCACCTGTTAGGAGAAAACACTTCCTTCCTAAGGTATAAGTGAATTGCTCGCATTTAAGAATCGGGATACTAAGTTTCTTTGCACGTTTTTCTGGGTATTGGCCAGGAGGTGGTGGCACTTAAGTACACCCAAGGAACACGGACATTTTTAAAGTCTTGTGAAACGGTCTTTGCTGACCTCTGCTCTAGGCTAGCTAGCACAGCTGTTTGTGCAGTTGTGCAGCAAGTTCCTACTTTTCAGGGTTAGGCCAGTTCCATAACCCACTTCACCCATTCAGTTCCACAACCAGCAGCGCCAGTAGACTGCAAAAGGCAACAAGAGGTAGGAACAAGCAGTCAGAAAACATAAGAGACTTCAGCTTTGCCACTGGAGAGACACCGTTTGAATCACTGTTCGATACGCTTGTTCCTGAGTAAGGCCTCACCTGGAGGAAGCAAAACTCAGCGCACAGAATCAGATCTCAGAAACTACAGAACTGTGCATGCATCCTAACAGTTCCCCTCCCCTTCCTCTGTATATCTGTTTCTGAACCTATTAATTTTGAAAATCTGCCACTACAGTAAAATACATTTGTTTTTCCCTATCCCCTCACACATTTCTAAAGGTAAAAAGAAAATCAGGGTGACACAGGTATTCAATTCCCATTAAACATTTCATAAAACACAGACACTCATCTACTTTCTCAGGGCCAGTTCATATCCTGATATTATAAATTGGCCATACCTTCACTAAATTGCATAGTCCCTGGTATATATTACAAACTGGTAATATAGATCTGTTTCGAAAGACCCTTGTGACAAGCGTTGACCAAACAATCTTAGGTCTACAGAATTAGTGGGGAGACAATAAAAACCTCAGGGTCTCAAGTTTCTAATATTCCCAACACGCTGCACTGGCAATAGATTGACAGAAGTCTAATATACTTTGAAACCACAGTATTATGACAAAATATGCTAAATGAAGTGGCAATCAATGACAGTACAAAAAAATTGCATGTTTCTACTCTTCATTTGCTGTGAATGAGTTTACAGCAAGAAATAAGCCCTTCCAAAAAGCAGTTTCAAAGAGATCCAGTGATCCAAATGGCACAAAAAGGAAAGATTTGCTAACACTATAAAAAGATTTTCCTTTTACGGAAAATATGATTCCTCCGGGCGAACTTTTCCGCACTCTCTCTCTGCATTGGAGGCAATCTCCTTTCAATGCCTTTAGCGTTGCTATATATCTACTTACTTTTAATCCAGCGGCATAGCCCACAGGCTGTGGTGCAATGTTAGACTGTGCAGCCTCTCCAGTAACAACAGCCATTCCAAAGACTTCTTGAAAGGCATCTCTAATTGCTGCGACTTTTACTTCTTTATTAGAAGTAACCACTATGTCTAGTTCTCCCCCAGTTCCTGTAAAAAAAAAAAAAAATATATATATATATATACACACATAAACTAGAATGGTTATTACATCATTACTATAATATAATAATATATTAATGTTAAAATATACATTAATGTTAATATATTATTATTACATTATACAAACACACACACACAACCCCTCACACTGCAGTTATAAAGCTAGTTCAAATACTTTCTATATCTTAAAGTACGCTTCAGCTGGTCTCTTTCTCGTGTACTATACGAAACTTACTTCACGAAGCAGAAGTAACTGAAGTTAGCTAGTCACTTAACTTTTACTTCCTAAGTGATCTATATACATTGAAAGAAAGACAACGGGAACTGGTTGTTCAGCATTCTGGAGAGGAAAAAAAAAGCCCAACCACTGATTTGAAAAGACAACTCATGGATTCAGGAAATAATTCTTGCATCCATTTCTGAAGGGTTCTGTTTTCATTCTCTGGAGAGTGGTAAGGCGTGTGGGTAATACCGAAACTCTTCCTTATGACAGGGACCAAGAACACAGATTTATTTCACAGAAGACCATAAACTGTCAAATTGAAAGCCTCAAAAGAAAGGCTCATATCGTCTAGTTGTCCTTGGACTGTGAATTCTGTATCATTTCATTGCTTTTCTGTTTCTCTAAATATTCCACAACTTTGTACTTTTTTAATGATACGGAATAAAAAAAATTGACAGTATTCCCAAACATATTAAACCATAAAGAGGGAAGAGTTTTTATTAAGTTTTGTTTAACCATAAAACAAAACTGCTCATAAATAAAGAGAAATCTAGAACTACTCCAGAAGACTCATGAACTCAATTGTAAAGCACATCCGTGTTTATTATAATTGAATCATTTTTACTGTCAAATTGAACTTGTTTTATCCAAAAATCTTGGAAAACTTCAGATATAAACTCTGATTGTCCTTGCTGTGACAAACCACTTCAGAACAGCTTAAACATTTTTCAGACATGGAATATGTCACCACAAAAAAGTTCTGTGAGCAGACTGCATCAGCAAGTTTAAAGGAATCAGACAAATTCACGGACAAGTTCAAAAACAAGCACTAAAAGTAACAGGTAGGGACATACCCTTTACCATCCTCTGCCCAATTACTGCGGATGATGAAGGAGCGCAAGGGGAACAGACTGCCAAAGTCACCAGATTGACCAGCATTTCCTAAATAGCATCTCCTGCTGCTGGAGACAGGACACTGCGCTAGAACCACCACTGGTCTCACCCAATAGGGCATGTCTTATGTTCTCACAATGCATTTGATACTGCTTAAACCGTGAAATCAACATTTTGACAGAAGTAGCAGACCAGTAAAGCATCAGTCTTTTAACCTGTTATTTCTCAAGCTCTCTAACTGTACAAAGACAAGTTAGGCTACATCTTAAAGAGAAAAAAAGGACAAAAGACACCAGCGGTTTTGCTTCTAAACATTAACATTCCACCTAGGTACACCTGCTGATGAAGTCTGCAGTATTTATCCCAATCTAAGAAAGATTCCCATGTTGGTAGTAATAAGCCTGAACCTTACATTTAAAAAAAAAAAAAAAACACCCACAAGCTCATATTATTCAGCACATCTCAATTTCAGGAAATATCATATTTTTATTAAGAATCACCAGAGGCATGACAGAACATTAATAAAGGATGTTTTGTGCAGGGTTTTTTTTTTTTTTAGGTTTTTAAATATCAGTTGCTGTGCTGCATGGAATTGCATGTACACATCACTGAACTTTGGATGATTATTTTAAACACTGTGAAGCAAGGGGACAAAAAAAATTACAGAAATTAATGCAAGTACCTCTTTTCACTGATTCCTTCATAGTAAAACCAAGATAATGAACATAAGTAAATAAGTGCTTAAAGTTGACCAAAGTTTTTTCTGAAGTTAGCCTTGTTTGAGTGCCTAGGGTAGAAACTGTTAAGAACTTTTAGAGTAACTAACTCGTAATATACATAAGAACAGTAACTCCATCCCTACTTTGTGTTCTGCACTAGCAGATCATAATCTACCTTCTTCTGAATTGAGGATCATGACATATCAAAAGTATGTCTTCACTCATCACAGGCACCACAGAAGAGGAATGAAGGTATTACATGCACAAAAAATAATTTCTGACTGGATCTGTCAAGCACTATGCTAATACAAAAATATTAAAATCTAAAATATATGAATCAGATAGAGGTGCCACATCAAGTTACGCTCCGTTTCCTGAGCCTGGGATTTCATTACACCTTACATACACTGTAACTTGAAATGACAGCTCCACATATAATTTAACATTCACTGTCTCCTTTCGTTATAAAGGCACTGATTTTCACGTGGTAACGAACCATTTTTTGTGCAAATCAAAGTTTTCCAATCCGGCTGCCTGCCTCAGACTGAAATCCTCACAATGTGAGAGAGAGAGAAAAGTTCAGCTGTTTCCAGGAAAGAGATTTCAGAAGTAATATTTGCTCACATTACAAATTTCTTGCAATCACCTCATCGAGAGGTTCCGGTGCTTCCAGGCTTTGGTGTTACGAATCTGAAATTTATTCGGAATTGCAGCAACGGAGAGAAAGACGAAAGAAGCAGAGTCATTTGCTGTACAGGACATGACTCTTGTTGATCCCAGAAATGTTTTTTGGCAGGAAGTGAACACTAAGTTTACAAATCTCTGCCCTACTCCCACAACCTGCAACTAAAAACTAAACGCAGTATACTAACAGTCAAGATGTATATAGCAGCTTTCATTTTCAACATGACTTGAGAAAACTTTCAGTAACAGTAAGTGAATTATATGGTTATCTGAATCCTACAAGCAAAGCATTTTATTAAAGACTTCCTACTTTAGGTAATGCTATCCTTTCTGATGAATACTGCGTCAAACGACCCAAAGATCTCTCCTCGGATCGCTAAAAATCCTACCTTAAAAAGGGCCTGTTAAGGCAAACGTTAACTACGGTTCCCTGAACTGTGCATAATCAACATTTACTACAGCTTTGCATTGTCCCCAGCTCCTCCTCTCAGCAAATACTTTTGTTTCAGTTGTTGGCTGGCCTTCTCAGTGATTTCATATCCCACTATCTCTCCATTAGTGAGCTGCTGGGATGTTTTCACTTAAATTTAAGACCATTAACTACTAGTCAGTAATTAAGCCATCTTCCCCTTTTATTTCACATATTGTCTGCTGCATTAGTACAATAGCGCAGCCACATGGTTAGCTAGATCACAGAACAGGTCCAGCTCAAAAACTGCCCAGGAAAACAAAAAACAATTAAAAAATGTTGTAGTTACTTCTCAGCCAAATCAGTTTCCTGATCTGCTTCACTTACATCCGGACAAAAGGCTTTACCGGCACAACTAAGAAGGAGGACTGACTGCTTATGCCAGTACTACAGGGTAGGGAGCCACTCTGGTCAAATTATGCCTTTACTTTCATGTATTAATGAGGTAGCAACCTCAGATCACTTCTAAAGTGGCATATAATATATTCTAACCACTCAAAAAATGTATTGAATACCACAAAGTTTCTGCCTCTCAGAAATTGTCAAGCTGTAATGGAAATGCAGTGCTTTTCCTTCCAGGCTCAACGCTCCGTAATGCTTCAGAGTTCATCACGCTGTTTTAAAGTTTAAACTATCCTGTTAACTGAAGCAGGAACTATTTTAGACCTGCCAGACTTCCTAAAAATATTATAAATACTTTTGGACTAGAAAAATGGAGCAGCTGCAAGACAGACGGAAGCCTCAAAAGCAAGGTAAATACTTCTGCCCTATGCCTCTCTGAGCCTGTCTACTGCCTTTTGGATTCTTTTAATCTTAATATGGTGACCTACACAGCAGTCAAGTATGCCATCTGACAGGATTCATATGGATGGTATATTCTGAAGTTAACTTTGTAAGAAGACTACAAGCTCAAACAGAGAAACAGCAGGAAAAAGATAAGCGTATGGAACTCAGAGACAAGATCTTCTCATTGTTTTTTTCTTTAGAATTTCCTCATTTTTCACAAGTTACACTTAAGGGGTAAAACTGCGCAACTGCCTGAATTGCAGTGAAACACAGAAATCAAATGAACCTTAAAAGACGGTGAAAGAGCAGTGAGCCTCTACCAGAGCGAGCGATGCGTTGGATAACACACTTGAGAAATCAATACAATACTGTGAATATGAATCAAGACACCACATACGCAAGTGTACAAGTACTGTGGCCTATTTATCATTTACTATTACTTCAGCCTATTTGTGAATTAAACTTGCTACTCAATGGTTTGTCACAAATACTTACTGATATATGGAGCCATGCCAGGATCCAGTGTTGTGATCATGGTTTCTACTGAATGTTTGGTTTTATCAAGAACAGACTTCACCATGGGATTCCCAGCTACACCCTAAATTTAACAAACAGATTTGCATATTTAGTCTTCCGCATTTTCCCCAGAACCTGAAAATATTACCACTACAAAAAACAAAACAAAAAAAACAAAAAAACCCCACCCCCCATCCTTCAAATATCAAGCTGCTTTGTGTTTTCCTCACCACACGTACACTCTGTAGCACCTACGGTATGGCACTCCTCAGCATAAGTGTTCCAGCCGGTGATTATCACTGTATAACTCTTGATTTGCAACATATAGTTCAAACATCATCTTTGTTATCTTCTACATTAACATATTACTTAAAGGACTTACAAAAAAACATCCCAGTCAGTGGTAACAGGCCACACACTTGATTTAGTCATATTCTGGGACCAGAAGCCTGAAGCATAAAGTTGTAGGTCCCCAATACTAACTATAGGTATCATCAGACTAAGAGGCTGGATTTAGACCGTGCTAACTTGAGTTGAAGAGTCTCTTTTCTAACCTTCTTAAAGACAATAGGAACTATTTTTGAATGGTCCATTATTAGCAAATATTTCTGGAGCAACAGAGCTGAAAGTTCTTAATTTATAAATAGATTCTAAACAATACTGGAAACATGTTATACCCTCTCCAGCCAAATTGTAGGTGGAGCTGCTGATAGATCTAAAAGTTTATTAAATATGAATACAAATACTGTCCTGTGTCTTGCAAATCCTAATGAATGTCTGTATCGCTTCACAACAATTTACATAACTCAGATAAGATCAAGAGGTGAAAGAAGAAAGACACCAACACTGAATCACTGAGAGATAAGGCACTGGAAACTATTTTAGAGAAACCTTTTACATAATTTCTTTAGTAAACAGACTGCTTTAAATCTAATATTAAAACTGCATATGCTTATATTTGCTTCACTAAAGGGCAAACATTACAAAGGAGAGCACTGTACGTGTACATTTTCTGTAAAGTGCTTGCTTAGTATTTCAGAGAACTGCAGAATTAGGAGAAGTCATTTCGAGATAATTAAAATTGCTGCAAAGCTTTTCCCCCCTTTAAGTAAGAATGTTTTCTATTTCTTTATTGCAAGGTTAGCAAACAAAAAAACCCCAAATTCCTAAAACGAGTGAGATATTGTATAGCTAGTAATAAGGATTATCATATTTCATGCCACACATTGAAATATTTTGCCACTGGGTTCAGGTATTCTCACCATTGTGCAGAGCACTAAGCAAACGTGCACAATTTGGTAAAGAAAACTAAACAATTACTAACCCTAGCATAATTACACTTTCTCAAGCCAGATCCCACCACAGGCTAAAAACTTTAATATGCAAGTTACTCAGTGAGGACTTCAGGATGAAGTTCTGCACTGACTACTAGTTGGTCTCCCAGATTCCGCATGATCTTTGGAAGATGCAGCACCTGGTACGTGCTCATTATACACATCAAGAATGAGATAGCTTCAGTGTAGTTAACTCCTCATTCTCCCACCTTGGAAATTCTCAAAGAGAGGCCAGTGAACACTCTAAAGATAGGATGTTTAACACTTAAACTCAAAATTTGGTTTTTAGTACTGATGTCAAAGACATGCACTTTCTCCAAGACTAAAGACAAGATTTGAATCTTACTGGTGTTTAGGCAACAGTAACGTGGACAAGATTGACTTGTCAGCTAATTTGTAATGGTGAGCACTAGTACTTTCAACAGGGCAACAGAATCATGTTACATGAAAAATGTTCTCTTGCAGAATGTCACCATTCATGGCAAACATCAAGAGTAAGATAATAACTGAGAAAAGTACCCTCTCTCTCCTATTAGCATCAACCACAGATTTCAAGAGGACGTTATTATTTAAAGGAAGAAAGAACATATTTCCATTATCATGAGAAGATCTCTCTCCCTGAAAAGTGCAGTGCAACAATCGTATTCTCACTGTACTGATGAGGAATTAATTTAGCTTTTTAAGACCGTACCATTGTCAAGAGGTATACTGCTAAAGACAGGGCCAGCATAGTCTGTCATGTCAAAAACAACTTTCTCCCAGCTTTGCATGCTCTAAGGGCCTTGAAAGTCCCTCCAAGACTTTGCCTTCCTGTTGGGACAATCTTCTTGACTCTCACTTCACACTTAGTATGAGTCAGTACAGAAAATGCGGTTGCTCTTGAACACAACTCAGCATTCATGCATAGCCCTTTGATCTTTTTGCCACCATCTTCATGATGCTACTTGCAGGTGTCATTTGTCACAGCTCCAAATAGGTCAGGCTGATGGAATTCTACTAGTAAATTTTGCTGTTTGTTTCCTCAGGATGATCAGACTGCTCCAAAAAGAGTATCTGCTTTGTACTATATAATTCATGCCTTCTAGTAGAGGAGAATAATCCTATAAAGTACCTTAGATGCTTTTCAGGCAAATTTTCCTTTGGTAGAAGACATATTTATTCGTGTGTCATTGAACAGAGTGATCTGTTACAGAGTAAGAAGGACTTGTATCCCATAGAAATCAACTTCAGTTCATTACGAAGTGATAAAAAAAAATCTAGAGAAATCTGACCAGGTAAATCAGCTTACTTCACAGTAACTGGACGCAGAAAAAAATAAAAACTAGTTCTTAGAGCCTTCTAGAACCTTAAAGAGGTTCTAAAGCTTCATCCGATCTAAGAACCAGTGACAGAACCTGTTAACATATCTTCCTGTCACAAGCACTAAAATGAACCTAGAACACCTATATTTATGAAGTCCTCCTTCCTCCATACAGAGGAAGGCCAAAGCTCAGCCTCAGCAAACACCACAATTAAAAAAACAGCCACCTTGCACATGAGGCATAAGACAAAAAAACATACTGACACACACACACAAAAAAAAGTCCTATTACAGTTTGTAAAAAGTATTTCCTTGTGAACAGTAACAGATTTAAAAATACCTTTATAAATCCCCACAGTCCTCCACCAGGAGCTCCACTCTGGGCAGTAGATATTCTGGGGTCTTCATGCTCCTCAGGAAAAGTGATTGCGGAACCACTCACAGTCCCAGGAGTCAAAGGTGATGAGAGTGTTGCTTGTTGAGTAACAGGATCTGCCAAAACACCTAGCAAGAGGAAAAAAAAAACCACACACACACACAAGTGTATATTTATTTTTACTGCATTTAATTTCTTATAATGAAGCAACATGCAATTGTGTAACAGGAAAATGACCAGAAAAAAAATAGAAAAATACTGGGCTCATTGATTTTCATTTCCTGAAGGCCTGAGAACCATTCTGCATGCTAAAGGTTAGCAAGTTTAACTACCTTAAATGACTTGGACAACATCTACTAATAGAATTAAGACTGCCCTGCCTGCACATTATGTATAAAATTAAACATTGATTTTCTAGGCAGGTTAGTTTAACAGTGGTGCTTTTTATTGCATTCACATTTTAAGAATAATAAGTCCTCAACAGCGGAATAAGAGGAATCGGTTGCTCTCTAAATAAAGATGTAGGAATGTTCTCTTACACAATAGAAAAAAGAGAGAGAAGTAAGTTTTCTAAACCTGAGTGCTGGAAATCAGTAGGAACAGAAAAAGAAGCAAACAAATGAAAAGATGTACTTGTTTTAAAGGAAAACAGGAGAAATTCAAATAGAAAATTCAAGCCCATTACTCAGGCCTCTTAATAGCTTTTCCAACACTAGCCTTAATTAGAAGTTATTTTTATTTTACACTGCCCAACCGATAGGTTTTTTCAAACACTTTCCTAATACATATCACTTAAAAGAGAGTCACTAATAATAGTAAGAGCCTAGCAAATCACAAATGAACAATCAAGTTTCCATCCTACTAGCAGAAAATGACATCAACTCAGCAACTACAGCAACTGCTTGCATGGAAGGCATGTATTTTTAGCTGTCCTAATGCAATTTAGTGGCTGGAAACAAGGAAATAGAAGCTGGTGTTGTGTGACAGGTGGTCTGTTCTAGATAAACAAAAAAATGAAAATGATGAGATTATGGCCAAAGATATGATTCCATAATATGGAAATATAATGGCTGAGCTTTACTCTGTTCTAAACAAAAAAGGTATACATATGTACACCTGGGCTTTCCTGGGTAAGTTAATCAAAAATACACCTCTCAAATCATGATATTTATGTAAGTCCAGATCCTGGGAGAACTCTCCTAAAAGAGAGTCTCTATCCTAGATCATGACTGTATTTTAAAACCTACTTTCATTTTGTGTGCACCTACATTGACTAGATGTACCTGGAACAATTCAGCAGTTGAATTTGCAGCAGTCTAGTACAGCGACAGGATCAGCCGCCCAGGAGATCCCCTACTCTGCCTCACAAACACAAAGAACACGAACAAAAGGTTACCTGTGACCGGAGGTGCAGAAAAAGATGGCATCAGCGGGCTCTGTGGTGCTCGACCAGCATGACCTCTGGTAATGTCATAGGTTGAGGTCATGGAAAATCCTGAAATGGGGGGACCAGTGGGTGGTGCAGAAAGACCAGGGCCAGGAGTAGAGCTTAATGGAGGAGGTGTAGAGAACTGGGACATGGAGGTACTAAAAGCTGAAGGGGCAGCAGGAGTTGGGGCAAGACTCAGAGGTGGTGCAATAGTAGAAACAGTTGCAGAAGGCACAAATGGAAGAGGAGCTGAAGTCATCATAGGAGGAATTGGAGATGCTGCAGCTGGCAAGGGCGGAGAGTATGCAGACGACGACGACATGCTTGGTGTAGCAAGGGGACTGGATAAAGCTGGGAAAAGAAAAAAAGGCATTTTAGAAAGGCTGATATCTGAGAATAATCTCAGATATCCATTTATTTCTAAAATATCTGAACAAACATATCAACTTTGCACTAGTCTGCTTCCTCCCCTCCCTCCTCTTAAGATAAATCTCACTTCTGCTTAAAGTTGCACACAACACTGATTCCACTCAATTTTTGGCGATAATATCTTGTAAGCCATGTCCCTCTTTCTTGCTTGACCCTATTTGTCATAAGCTAAAAAAAAAACCAGGATGAGTCAACGTTTGACTATTGAATTCATAGCAGCCGAAGCCTGCCTAGAACTTTCTGGTTAGTACCGCTCTTTCTGAGTCACTGTTGAATAAATAGGAATTATGATGATGGAGGAAGTACCCATCCGTAATAAGAATGTTATGACTTACTCTTTCACCAGTGCCGAGATGGAACAGTCAAAGAAGTCTGATCTAAATAGAAGCTACCCGAAGTTCATTTAAGCTTACAAGTATGATACATACTGCTGTATGTTCTGTCCTGGATATCTAGATAGTATTGTCATAACTGTTAATGGTTGCCATGTTTCACTTCAGTAACTGTTTTATTTCAATGCTGCAGAAAAATTACTCTTCATATGAATGCCATAAAAATATTAATATGCAGAGGAACTACAAAGAACAGTGAAAGACGACATCAATGAGGATCATACAGTTCAAAAATAGTTTAAAATGCACATATCAGAGACAGCAGAAGATTTAATTAGGAAAAGGTAGTGTCATTAAGCAGTTCATGATTCCGCCTACTATCATGAACTCTGCTTCTGTACTGAACTGCAAGTCTCTATATTGTTTTTCAGACATTATTTAAATTTCACTTTTCTCTTCTTAAAGTGAGCACAAAACTAGTGAAGAGGTGGGAAGAAAATCTCATACTTTAATGAGATTGAATGATGGATAACTGTTACAATTTGAACTTTCATTACATCATCATTGACCAAAGAGTTGACCAAATGAAAAAAAACAGGTTCTGTCAAATTGGCAAGGGGTCGCTTAGTTGGGATCTTTGACCATCTGACGATGACTAAAAGGGAAGTCAAGAGTGTTTGTTTTGTTAACACACACACATATAAACGACAAGGTTATTCAAGTATTTCTCTAACACATCTGCTAAAGCCAAGGCAGAGGAAGCTGGCTACAGAATCCAAGAGACATGCAAAAATCCTGCTCACCAGATTCAGATGCATCTTCAAGGACTCCTAAAAGAAATATAGCGTACAGCGTGACATGGCATTCACATATCTGTCACTTACCTGAATCATGGATAATTTCTTTGGCTATGAATAAAACACACGTCATTAGAGATTTCTCCCCCCGCCCCTTCTTTTAAACAGTGTATCAGTTTGCCTTAACCAAAGAAAAGTGTCCACTAGAATACCCAAGGTCAGAGATCTAGGAAAGTGTGAGGAAGTAGGGAGAACGTGGGAGAAAAAAAAATGTACTTTTTGTTATCCAGGAGTTTGATTACAGGCAAGCTCAAAGAAGGGAGCTATAAGAAGGCAAAAAATACACTTCCTATATCCTGGGTAAATTAGCTGGGCAACTGTGTGAAAGGTGAATGCGTTTGTGCAGGACATGTGCGCACCACGCATACTGTTGATATCATGAATAACCATCAAAAAAAAAGGATACCAGCTTGCCTCCTTCAAATTAACAGTCAAAACTACTTATTTTACTAAAAAATTAACTTTTTAAAAAATATTTTTGCAAGGAAATAATATGCACTCCTATGTTATCTACAGGGTTGCAGGGGGAAGAAGGGGAGTTACTTCAAGGATGTGGTTCTGTGAGATGGGCTGAGCACTTCTCTCCTCCCCTGCACCCAGCTTCATACTCCTCTTCCTTTCTCTGTTTCAGTCTAGCTCTCAGCCGATCCCTGGAGAGGCAATTTTGCTCACTAAACAAAATTTAGCCAGCAAATTAAGCCAGAAAAACACAAATGACTATTTTTGATTACAGTAACCTGTTTGATGGGCTCAAATATCTCACAGTCGCAGCTTAAACTTCAACTACAGAATCAAACAGCCTGTAGAGTTGTAACCTCCCTGGAGTGTAACCAGTGTAATATCAGATGTGTCAGAAAATGAAATATTTGGTATGCAGAGCGTGGTGTCTATATTCTTGATATATCGGGCCAAGTGGCCACATAGCTTAGATCTCCATCCACAGTATTTAAAAACAAGTGATTACCCAGATTAACTACTATTCCCTGCAACAGTGTAATTCATTTTCATTTTTTCTACTCTTCATCTGTGCTCGCCATCTAAGTGTGCGCTCTCATGGGAGGGACTCCTTCTCTGGCTCCCCGTCCTTAAAAAGCACAAATGCACCTGCATAACCTCACAAAAAAGTTTTAAGAAGAAATAAGCAATTTAAAGTATCCATGAAGTCAGATTAAAAAAGCACACCTCCACAATTAAGAAACAATTTTAAATCTTCAAATTAGTCTGCAGAACAGGACTGCAATTATACTGATTGCAACATTTTTTGGATGAATTGCTGTGCTTCCAAACTCACGAACAAACGCGACCAAGACGACGTGGAAGTTTCTGTACCTAGTGAGATAGGCGTAGCAGAGGCAGCAGCAGCCCCTCCTGTGCTTGGTGGGGGGGTTCCAGGTGGAGTTGTCTCTATTCCACTCTCTTCCATCATTTTCCTTCAGCTACAAAAACCTGCAAGGAAAACAAAACAAAAAAAAGCCTATCTTGAGAAACAATACAAAAGATTTTTAATGAAAACATGAAGGTCACACAGCACAGCGACCTGTGTTCCTGAACAGGACTGGCGATTCAAATGCCAGCCCTAGGGGGAAAAAAAAAAAAAAAAAAAAAAAGATCTGAGTAGCCTCAAGCACAATATGTCTCCGTTCCCCTGCACCTTCCCTTCATTTTTAGCACTATGATAATATTTCAAATTCCAAACCTCTTTCTAAAAATCCTACTGCACATGCTCAGTTACTGTTGTTAATATATTCTGGTGGTATTCAGATGAGCAACACTAGAGAAGCAACCACACACCACAAAATCCAATCCCATTTTAAGGGGGGGAAAAAAAAATCTTACAATTGGGTATTTTGTTTCATTTAGTGAACTGTAGCAATTTGAACACTGATGTGATATTTTCAGAACCAGGGCATGAAAGGAAGCAAGCTGTGACAAAAGGCAAGAGAGGACCAAAGCCTCCCCCTCCTGGCAGCAGAAAACCACAAGATCAGCTCTACTATCCAGGAAACTGCAGCCTTCTCAGGTTTTGTAGTTTCACCCCGTGTCCCTGGACATTACACCTCCAAGCCCAAGCACCTTGCTAAACATCACAAACAGCCTCAGCGGCACAGCCACCAGTCCAGGAGTCCTGACTCTGACCTCAGCTGTAATCATGACATTGCCTACCTTAAAGCAGCAGTGCTTTTAGGTCAACTATATTAACCCCCAGAAATGCCACAACAAAATCAGTCAAAATTCATTTTCAACATGAATAACATTGCACCGAAACTGGTTTAACATGAAGGGCTAAGATTATCACACTGAAAGAGTTAAGCTTCTTCAAGTCTTCCATACAGACAATTCCTAGGAAATCCAAATACCATAATAGCCTGGTGACAGTGTAAGAAATTTCAACAAATGAAAAATTCAGGTTTCATCTTGCAGGCCACATTATGGTGGCAGTATCTTAACATCTTAGAGAAAAACCTTAAAAATCCACTACTTCTAAAAAAAAGTAAGGCTATATGCTTATTTAAAAAAATATATATATAAAGGTGTGGGCGGAAAAAAGGAGAAGAAAAAAATGAAGACTTTCTTTCATTAACACCTGGAGATTTTTGTTCTTCAGTGTAGAGGCAGCAAACAAGAAATCGTGCCTCCCCCCAAATCTCGTAAACTGGACAGCAGTGATTTAGACCCCTCCCTGAGGTAACAATTCTTAAGGGAATTCCAATGAAATAGAAGTCTTATATAAAATAATTACATGTATGAAAAAGAGAGAGGCTCAATAAACATTTTCCACAATATCCATTACGTCAGCAGCTACTGAGGACTGCCAGCTTACTCCTTTAACAATTTAAAGAGGAAAAGGCTTAGATAATGTTCTGAGTAAAAATACCCATGTGTATATAAAAAAAAACACCACTTAAAAAAATTACAGGTTTTTTCCTCTCTCTCTGTCAAAAAAAATCCTCATGGTCAAGGGTTTTTTCTGCTGCTGCTGTTGTTCTAAATGTATATGCAGCTCAAGTTTAACCTGGAAAAAAAAAAAATCTTACTATTGTTACCACATTTAAAAAGGCAAACAGTAGGAAGTCACTATTAGTCTTAGGCTTACAAAACTTCTAAAAAACAAATGAAAGCATCAAAATCACATCGAAACAAATTCTAATCCCTCTGACAAGCATGCTTTGCGTAAGTGATTGAAGATTAAATGTTTGAGCCCAGCCCCAGAGAGCTAGCAGGTACAGTCTATGTGCAGTACCTTTCATGTAAGCTCTATGACAGGAAGATTTCAGGTTGCCAGAACCTCTTTAACTCCCTTTAAACGTCTCTCTTCAAACAGGATGGAAGCAAGGGTCAGTAATTGCCCTGTGGGGAACGGATCGTCCTTTCTTTGTACATCTGTCTTATTATCCCCTAGAAAGGAACTGCACTTGGTTTTCCGTTAAACTTTACCAAGTGGAAAAATTTGTAATGATAAGATTGTCTTTTACATGAGTTTACATTCCCCCATAAAAGTACTTCTAAAGCCATTTGCCTTCCAATTATACACTGCAAAGCAAGAAAGAATTTTCCATTGTGCAGCTGAAGTCTTCACTGACCAAAAACTCCTAGAAACATTTTATTTTATCAAGGCTCTGTAATCTGTTGCTTGATTTCAGCTAATGCCATGATTAAAAGCTGTTGATAGGTGCTTGCTTCCTAAAATAAATACTGCGTCCACGTGGAATGACGGAAAAGGCTCCACGGAGACGCTTTTCAAAAATTCCATACCAAAGTTTTTCAAAGCTCCCTAGAGCAATTAGAGGTTCAAGTTGTGGCCAACTCCTGCCCCATACACCTCCCCTTTCCCCCCCCAAACTGACATCTGGAAAAGTAGGAGCAAGCAGAAATGTAGCTAGACTCTGCAGTTCCTCTTCTCTTTAACATCAGAAGTGAAGTGAGTATTAAATAGATACAGCACTACCCACCCCAAATTTGCAAAATTTGGGGTCAGTTCCTCAAATAGAATAATTAAAAAAAGTCATGGAATTGATTTAAGAGTTTGAATTATGAAACTATTAATTCCCCCTCACCCCACCCCCCAATTTGCACCCCTTTGTGGGAAAGCACACCGTCTCTACGCCCCCAGCCAGCACGTGGAAGCTTGAGAGGGGAATCCCAGCAACTGCAGGGCCTACCTCTGTTCTCTTGGACTCGGCAGTTCTGGGTACGCGGAGCTGGGCAGCGTCACCCAGTAAGCTGGGTACGTTCAGAGTGGCGCCCAGTCACAAGGCTACACTCACTGTCTCCTTACTGTCTTAGGTTTTAATCTTTTAACCCTAATACACCTCCTCCTCTTTCATGTGTTGTCCAACACATGTTTTTTTCCCACTAGCTGGGGAAGAAAAGATTTTTCCCTATCTTCATGTGGAGGGTCTGACAAATTCCCTTGTCTCTCCGATAACTAACACACAACCACGCTAGCCTGTAATATTTTCCTCCTACGCTCAACTTTTTTCCTTCCTTTATTACCCTTTCCATCCCTCCACCCCAATCAGAGGTCCCTGAAGCCTAAACTCACCTTACATTCTTCTCCATTTAGCTTACCCACTTCTAGCAGCTCCTATTCCTTGACTCACCCCTGGCCCAAGACAGTCTTTTGCACCTTTTTAAGCAGTTTTGAGATAGGAAGACACAGTTATGGAGTTTGAGTTACGGATACAGAGAAAGCAAGATCATTGAGAAACTTCAGACACCAATCAAATGCATTGTAAAGTCTTGAGCCGGCAGGGACTAACACTGAGCCCACAGAAATAACAGGTTTCTAAACACAGAGTTCTCAGCATAGGAGGTCTGCAGTTTGCACGTCCTCCATGAACAAACAATTCTAAAAAAAATTAAGGTTAAGGAGAAAGAGAAGACCTAGGAGAGGGGAAACACACGAAAGTAAAGAAAAGCAAAAAGTACAATGAATGTAATTGAAAGCTAATACCCTCACCATGTTGAAAGAATTCAGCATTATATACCATTAAAAGAAGTTCTGCAGGATGTATGGGTTAGCACTTAAGTCTAAGTGGGCTACCCAAATCCAGTTCTATGCGAGAAATCAGGAGGCATAAAGGTAGGAGAGGACCAAGAAGAGAACAAGCAAACCACAGGCTTAAAGTATTCAGCCTACAACAAAGCTTCCAATGATGGCCCTTAGGGGAGTGGAAAGGAAGAAGTTCCCCAGTAAGATCAGCCTCCAAATCCTTACTGACTGCTGGGTCTGGAGCTGGCCTGTCCTTCTATTTTCATCTTAAAAAGCCTATCATTCTTACTCCCCAAAGCCACAAACACATAATTAGCAGCAACTAGCCCCTGAAAATTAAACTTCACTTAAGCATATGAATCTTTTCAATCCTGTGATTTCTTAAATCTTTATAGAAAGGCACGGCGAGAGTTTGTTTTTATATAGAACAAAGTTTTCATTGTTTCTAACTTAGCGCAAAACATTGTTCATTATAGCCAGCCATGCTACAAATCTGCAATCTACTTTGTTTACTCCAAAAAAAAAAAAAGAATTTCCTTGTCAGTGTGCAACTTGCCAAACTCTTGGTTATTTCCTCCCTTCTCATCTAATGCTGCTTTTTTTGTCACTAAAGATTTTCAATGAAATATTGCCACTTAATCTAATAGGTACAGGTGTAAAACAGACTTACACACAAAAAACCCCTAAAAAATCCAGTCCCTTGTCACCAATCTTACTCATCTTACTAAATTCTCATCTTACTACCTCATCTTACTAAATTCAAGAGATAAGGATTAAAAATCTGAGAGGAGAAAATAGAAGTATGCACAATTAGGTGAAAATTACAGCAGCACTGCCATCTACCGATTTGTGATCAGAAGTTCACTTCATGAGTTTGACAAATCTCACATTTAACAAGAAGAAAATATTGTCTTATGCTTATACGGAAGTAAAAAAGTAGAGCTATAGTAAACAGGATAATAGAAAAAGACAGAAAAAGCACATTCCAAGTAGTTATTCACCCTTAAAATAACCCTTTAAGAAGTAGAAGCATGAGTTTGGTTAGGCTTCCATCAAGCAGTTGGCAAAAAAATCCGTGTCAGTACTAATGAAGATGCACTAGGGATGACATTTAACTCTCCCATTACACTAAGAAATATGTCCTACACACCGGGGTGCACTGGTAACTACGTTTTAATGACTCTCATCAGCTGAATTTCAGCCATAACTCTACTTCCCCAAAAGAGGAACCTGCGTATGCTCAAGGAAAAAACAGGCTAAAGTTCAGACTGGAAGAGTTTAACAGAGATACTGTTAAAAGCAGAAAAGGAATAATCGATTTAGAGACTAAATAGCTGAACTGGCAATCATTCATCTTTTGACTTCAGTTTAATGTGAAGTGATTACACTTGCTCTAATATTTTGCAGTAATCCCCATGACATACCCATACTTCAAAAGCATTCTTCAGGTTAT